TTCTCATAATTTAAAAAAATGATTCTTAGCCTGGCCCTAAAACGCCATCGTAGAGGTGAGATAAAACATTTTGCTATTTGTCTTCTAGCTTACCTCAGCACCAAACTCCAATCTCTTCTTCAGTGAATTTGAAGAGTGACAGATCCAAGGGTGAAACTTCAAATTAAAACTTCAAATCTGAATTCACTGGAATTTTTATACAGTTGTTATCATTATACTTCCTAGAACGTATTGCCAACCGGAAGTACATCATTGCGATTTTGTCTATTGAAAACCATGGATTGACAAAATAAACATGTTCAATGCAAAAACTGTTTTTGTTGCTAAGTTATTGAATAAATAGATATGAGGTCAATGATAATTATATTTAATTGTTTTAATTGGTTGTTTAGGTTATGTAACCTATCCAGATTCTTAAAAAGTGCTGTTATACACATTCAGCTTTCAAGAACCCCCTTATTATGCATGTCACTTCTTTACAAATATGAACTGTGAATGCTGACATTGGCGTAGGGGACATCTGTGCATACTGCAACATGTTTTGCATTGAGATGGTATTTTAGGTTTGAATAGCTTTACTACCTTTGTATATAAAAAAAAACATTCCATAAAAAAAATAATTGCATTAAAATATATTAGCACATTAAAACATATGCAATTAATTTATTAAAATGAATGTGATGAAGTCCTGGCCCCAGTAAAAATAAATTATTTTACTCTCTAGTATTATAACTTTAAACAGGATCACTAAACACATGTCCATTTTAATAAATGCAAATCAAAACAGTTAAATGTCTCATCTGTGTCTGCAGTGACAATGTCAACCAATCTGGAACATCTGGGACAGGTGAGCATGACTTAAAGAGATAAGGTTTTTGAAGTCCACTGGCTTCAGAGACCAATGAATACATACTTTTAAGAGATAAGTTCTGTATCAAATTATATTTTTTAATTGTAAAGTTAAGTTTTTACTTAATTTTTGGTTGGTGTTGTTTCTATTTGTGTATTAAGGAAAAATTGCCATCGGAAAGTAAAACTAATTGCTTCTAAGAAGACCAAATAGTTTTTTGTCTCTTCTTAAATTATAAAGCCTCAAATCTTGTGATGCTGAAACAATTATTTGTCAGATCTTGTCATTACTACCCCTGATGATAGTTGATGTTTCAAGACAAAAATGTCCATAGTGTAAACATAATTTGCTGGGGTGACACATAGTGAATCTTATCGCTTTTTAGCTGACTTTAAGTTGTTGCCCAGAAGAAACACAGATTGTTTCTATACATTAATTCTGAAAGCTTGATGTTGATGATAGTTGGATGCCAGGAGGAAATATGAGTAATTAGTGTGGATTATTGCTGAAAATAAATTCTGAAGAGTGTTGTCAATCATGTTTCAAATATATTATGGTTATTCCTGTTGTTCACATATATTTAATTTAAAAATTACAGGAGGAGATACCAAGGGAAAAAATGACCTGAAGACAGTAATACTTAAGGAGGTGGGTCAACATAAAAATGACCTGAAAGTCTCTGAGATAGTGACGTTTGAAAGAGGGACAAAGAGCGTAGTCGAGCTCAAGGACTTATTTACCAATAAATCTGGGTTTCTTAGTAGGTCCACAAATGTGAGAACAGTACTGATGAAAGGAGCTCCTGGTGTTGGTAAAACATTCCAAACTAAAATGTTCATGACCAACTGGGCAAAAGGAAACTCCAACAAAGACATAAAGGCTTTAGTGACCTTTGATTTCAAAGACTTGAATACAAAGAAGAATGAAGAACAAAGCATGGAATCTCTGCTGGATGATTTCTTCAGAAAAAAAAAAGTTAATGTTTCCAAAGATAAGAAAAAGATATGTTTTATTCTTGATGGTCTGGAAGAATATGAACTTCCTCTTGACTTTGTACAAAACAAGGAGCTTAAAGACTTGAAGGAAGCAGCATCAATGGATGTGCTGCTAACAAATCTGATCAAAAGAAATCTGCTTCCTGAAGCTCATATTTGGATCATTTCTCAACCAAAAGGAGTTGATAAGATTCCTTCTGAATATATTGACAAAACTGTTCAATGTCAAGGTAAGAATATTTGTCTAAGCCAATTACTCTTAATTTAACTTCTATACATTTTTGTTGACTTTGTTCAAAAGTTATATGATTTTACATCGTTATATAACTTTGCTTTGTCTAATTAGAAACCTATGAGCAACGAAAGAAGTTAGAATCACATCTGAAAACTAGATTTCTGAAAGAAATCAATGATGAAAAAGAAGAAATTAATCATCCAAACCAGGGGACAACAGAACATATCATCAGGAGAGAAAATGGCTCTAAAGAAGAGGAACATAAGCAGAACACGTTTACAAAAGTGAAATCTACTTCTGACATCTTCAAAGATGTTGAAGGAAATCAAACTAGAATCGTGTTGACCATTGGAGAAGCTGGTATAGGGAAATCTTTTCACATGCGAAAATTTATTAAAGAATGGGCTAAAAAGGAAACTGAGAACAGGTCATTTTTCACCAAGATCAAAGATGCCTTATATAGCCAGGCAAAACCTGTAGAACTTTTGTTTCTAATTGACTTCTCAAAACTCAACTCAACAAAAAATAAAAAAATCAGTTTGTTTGAGCTTCTTAATCACTTCTTTGAGGAGACCAAAAATATCATCATTTGTGACTATTCCCAGTTAAATATTTTATTTCTTTTGGATGGATTGGATGCATATCAACATTGTTTAGACTTTGAAAACAATGACATCTTGACTGATGTCAGAGAATCAACCTCAGTCGACGTGTTACTAACAAACCTTATCAGAGGAAACCTGCTTCCAGAGGCCAAGGTCTGGATAACCTCCCAGCCTCCAGCTGCTGAGAAAATCCCTGATGGCATCATTGACAGACTGACAGAAATACGAGGTAAGATCTGCAGATGCTAATTTCTTACAAATAGATTGAACTTAAATGTTTTTTCTAACATTTAAACTGTCAGCAGTAAAATTACAAAATTTTGACTTTTAGTTAAAATCAAATCAAATTATATTAACATTTATAAACAAATTAGCCATGTAACACTTCAAAATGAGTTTCAATGATGAATCCTTTCCATTCCAGCGAGCCATGAATGTACAATAAATAAGTCACAATGAAATTACTGTGTAGTGCTTAGGCTTCAGGGTGTAAAGTAACTCAGAAACTTACAATTAAGTTTCATTAATTAAAACTGAAGAAAGTTGATAAAAATCAAGATAGACAAAAATATATTTAAAAAGTACCAATTCTACTCTACATACGATGGATTAAACAAACAATAACTAAGGCTGCATTCACACAACAGGCAAATGTGAAAAAATATATAATTCTGAAAGAAATCTATGTACATTGTAAAACCCGGCAAGTCAAGTTAACTCAAATGAATTGGGGAAACCGATTTCATAAATTGATTTAAGTTTTGCAAGTAAACTATTTTATTTTATTACGTGATTAGAATCCAAGGAACTCAAAGCAATTAGGATAAGGTAACTCAAATACATTTGTTTAACTCATTTTATTTATTATGTTGCAACTTAAATCATTAACTATGTTAGACAAAAATGCTTTATTTAGTCATACTTATTAAATGTGTTACATGTTCATATTAAAATTAAGTCATATTAACTTGAAAGATTCATATTTAAACAACTTGGATCTCTACTTGAATTATTCAACCCAAATGGAGAAACCAATTGCACAAAACTGCATGAGTTAGAGGTGGAGGTTCAGGGGGCATTGGGAGGGCAGCACAAACCTGGAACAAACCCATAGGCAAATGGGAGGGAAATTTCATATCAGCACAACAAAATACTCATTCACAAATACACATGAATATTTTGTACCACAAAGACAAATAAGTAATGATTTCATTAACTATGTTTGCATCCATCACAGTAATATTTATATTTTTAACAAAAGTACCCACAAGGGTTGTTTAAGCCAGTCATGTTATTGAGTTTACTTTTTTTTTTTTCTTTTGCAGTTGTGCATAGTTAATGCCGTTGTGTTTTCTTATTTTGTAGTTGTGTTTTTTTATTATTTTTTTGGGTAATTATGTTTATTGATTTCTGGGCGTAGTTTGCACTTTGGGGCCACTGTAATGGTCGTAAATAGTTTACACAAAAGTCTGACTGTGACTCCATTTAATTAGTAGTATAAAGGGTCACATAAAAAAGAGACTTAAAACCTGCTGCTAAGAAATAAGTTGTTAAAACTATATTAAATAAAACTGATTAAAAGACTAAAATTTAACAGTTGCCTACTGGATTCCAAAGGGCAATGGGCATCGGTATCGCAAAGTACACTCCAAAGCTCATGCACTGCAATATTGCCATATCCAAAATTGCAAATGTTGTTCACAAAACTCTCCTCTGCATGAGTCCAGTAATATTTCAGCAATATTTCAGCAAAATTCATTGTAACATGGACGTACACGTTACAATGGATGTCTGCACTCCCAGTTGCTTTTTCAATTCTCACAGAACTGGCCTGAGCCCATGAAGCTTCAAGGTTGGAAGGTGAAAGGCAGTGCTGTTCCTTTGTGCAGAAGTTGATGTCACTTTAATAGTAAAAACTTATGACACACTTCTCATACAGTTATGTAGAGCTACAATGCGTCTCCTGATGTTTATCGGTCCACACAACATGAATGCACGCTTTGCATATCAGGTACTCAGACTTTCCTGGTGTGTTCACTCAGGGCCGGCCCAAACCTTCATGGGGCTCTAAGCGAAATGTGGTTTTGGGGCCTTCTAGTTCTGCTAACAATGTGGACTTGCTGCAATCAGCAGTCCGATCATTAGATCATT